TGCTGCTTCAATGCACTCGTCGTTGTTGCCTGCACACCGGATCCAAAGGCCGAAAAACGCTGTTGTTGTCGTGGTTGCTGTTGTTGTCGTGGTTGCTGTTGTTGCTGTTGTTGTCGTGGTTGCTGCTGCTGCTGCTGCTGCTGTTGTTGCTGTTGGTTTTGTCGGTTGTTTCGGATTGACCTAAAGAGCCGGAAACCGTTTCTGGATCGCCCCTGTTGTACTGCTGGTGCTCCTGCTCCAAACATGGCCTGAGGCTGTTGCTGTCGTGAGGACTGCGTGGGCGCCGCCTTGAGCAGCAGCGATGGCGCTGCTGGTGCTGCTGCTGGTGGCGGTGGTGGTGGGGTCGGCGCAGCAGCAGAGCGAGTGGGACGGCGGAAGCTGGCGGCAGACGTGCTGGCAATGCTCGCTGCTTTCGCTCCAGGCATGGCCTCCTTCTCTTGCTGCTTTTTCTTCATCAGCCTCATCTTCGGCTTGAACTCAGGCTGTGGCTCAGGTTCAGCTGGTGGAGGTGGCGGTGGGGGCGGCGTTGGTTTGGACACGGGTTTGGGCTTTGGCACCGCAGCTGGAGCCGGTGGCTGCGCGCGGGCCTTGAACAAGGCACGGACCTTGCTGCTGCCCTTTTTCTTGCTTGCAGGCACGAACGAGTCTGTCTCTTCGAACATGTCCATGTCCATGACCGGTGCCTTTGGCGCTTGTGTGAGGCGCGCATCGGACATACGGAGCTCACGGTCCTGCTCTTTGTTGGCCTCTAGTGTGATCTTGTCAAACGCGAGGGCTGGGGACGCTTGCTTCATCGCCTTCTTCTTCTTCTTCTCCTTCTGCTTCTTGTCGTTCTTGGCGCTCTTAGCACGCACAGCCGTTGACGCTGACGGTGCCGCTGCGGTAGTGGCGGGTGCCTGGTGCTCCTGCATCAGTGCTGGTGGGCGCGGCGGCCGCTGGAACGGGCTCGACATGGTGAGGATTCCCCTCTTTGCCGCCGCCTCGTCCCCAACATACGAGTCCTTCTGGCCCATCCCAACCATCACGCCTTGGTGGCGCGGGCGTCCGACCTGCGTTGGAAACACGGCCCGTGGCGCCTCGTCACCTGCAAACCCGGCCTTGACCGTCGCCATGCCTGGTGGTGTGTTGTGCGTGAATGTTTGTGAATGTGTGTGAATGTGTGTGAATGTGTGTGAATGTGTGTGTGTGTGAATGTGTGTGTGTGAATGTGTGTGAATGTGTGTTTGTGTGTGAATGTGTGTGAATGTGTATGAATGTGTGTGAATGTGTGTGTGCGTGTGATTGCACGTATGTGAGTGTGTGTGTGTGTGTGCGTGAGCGGAGAACAGGAGCGGTGTAACCAAGAAAGGAAAGGGCAGGCGCGAGCACACACAGCAAAATACGTTGTCTCACCTGTATCGAGGACAACAGGTGCCGGCTCGTCGTTGCTTCGCTGCGTCAGGGTGTCTGCACACACAAAACGGATACACACACATGCATGCGTGTGAGTGAACAGCACTAAAACGGACAATACCAACACACAGACACACAGAGCATCGTGTTGTTTCAAGACTCACTGAAGAACGAGGCAAGGGATTCCTCCTCCTCCTCCTCCTCTTCTTCTTCTTCTTCCTCCTCCTTTTCGTATGCAGCAGCCGCTGCGCAGTTCTCTGCATTTTCCTCTTCATATGAGAGGTCGGAGTCGTTGTCCCAGTCCTCCCTGGTTTGTGTGGTCGGGGGGGGGGCATGTGTGAGCGTCGTTAGAGAATGGCACCACGAACGCACATGCAAGCAAGCACACACACACACAATCACAAGCACAGTTGCATGTCCAAACTCACTCGCTGGAAGCGCTGGAGAAGTCATCAGTGTCGTCTGCATCGCTGCCACTGCTGCTGGTGCCACTGCTGCTGGTTGGTTCCTCGTGCGGCAGCTCACCAGTCACTTCAAGCAGGTTGTTGAGGAGGGCTGCAAGCTCATCGCTCTCTTGGTCGTTGAAGTCGTGTTCGTCCTTGGCAAAGTGCGCCGATGCCGCTGCTGCCGCGCGCTCTTGCAGCGTCTCCATCCCGCGCAGCAGCACACTCTCGCCCCTTCGCACGTCCCGCTGCACCGCACGCCTGAGAAAGAGAAGGAGGAGGGAGGTGTTGAGCAGTGGATGGTGCGCACGTTATGGCGAGTTTGTGTTCATGGGTGCGTGCGTGAGCATGTGCTCGTGTGTGCGTGTGTGTGTGTGTGTGTGTGTGTGTATGTGTGTATGTGTGTGTGTGTGTAAATGAGATTGCACACTCCCATACGACAAGACAACCGAGCTGGTGACTTGTGGTTGCTGAGCTGCATGTACACCTGTACTAACCAGAGGCGCTTCGGGCAGTCCGGGGATGTGGCAAAAGTGGCAATGGACCTGAGAAAACCAATTCACAACGTGACTGTCAGTGAAGGGGAAGGAAGGTACGCACAAGTGTGTTTTGTTCACAAGAATGCACACACATACAAACGCATACAAACAAACACGCAGCACTCCCTTTTCACACACACACACACACACGCACATAGACACGCACACACATCGGCCACGCACTTGACTGCGTCGAGGCGCGTGTGGTGGGTCAACGGCAGCCTGCGGACCTCCGAGAGAACCTGCATATACAAGTCGCTTGCCAGCATGACGTTGATGTTGACGGTGGCGTTGGCGTGGGAGAGGTGCCCTGCAATGCTCTGCTCCTCCTCCAACTTGCGCTGCAGCCGCGGTGGAAGACTAAACGCCACATACGGCAGCTGATCCACATTCTCCTGCGCCAGGAGCTCCTCGATGCTCGGGCCCGTGTCGCCCCCGCTCTCGTCGCCCTGGTGATGATCGTAGTGGTGATGATGGTGATTACGGTTGATGGTGGTGGTGATGATGATGATGAAAGGTGAGAAGTGAGTGAGAAGCAGATGTGTTACGTTGTTTGTGTGTGTGTGTGTGTGTGTGTGTGTGTGTGTGTGTGTGTGTGTGTGTGTGTGTGTGTGTGTGTGTGTGTGTGTGTGTCCGATTGATTGTTGGTGTCGTATGCCAGTGTGTTCGCGTGCAACATGTCGCAAAAGAAGCCATGCAAAAAACAAAAACAAAAAAAAAACCGCTGCAGACTGGACGCACCGTTCGTTCCTCAATGGCAACAAAGCTGGTGTGCTCCGTGACGATGGAGTGTTCGATGCTCATGTTGATGATGTCGGCCTTCCTGCTCTCCACCGCGGCCTTATCCTTCGCCGCATTGTCCGACAGCAGGCCCCGCGACCAGTCCCGAATCACCGCCCGTGCTGGCACAACGAAACGCGGCAGCGTGAGTGTGTGGACAAACACTTGGAGCGATGGCACAGCTGTACACATACGCGCTGTCCCATGCACATTCAAGCACCTACATTCACGCACGCAGTTGCGAGTACCTGTGAGCTTGTGCAGAGTTGTTCCCTTGAGGGTCTGCAGCGGTGTTGTTGAAACGACGGTGGAGAACTCGCGGTCCCCCAGCGACGCGTGCAGGGTTGCGCTGTGGCAGTTGGGCGCAAACCCATACACAATCTGCATCGAGGTCGAGGTGGGTGCGTGGATGTGTGCAACGATGAGTTGTGTGGATGCGGGAACAGGTGCCATTGACAGGTTGGTGAAGGGGATGAGCACACAGAACACACGACACGCATATGCCAACAGATGCATGCATGCACACAAACACACACACACACACACACACACACACACGCACAACACACACACACACACACACACACACACACACACACACACACACACGGATGCATACCTGTCGCTGACCGCTGAAGACGGTGCCAATGTTCGCTGGTGCGCACACGACAGCTGAGGCATTGTCGTCGTTTGTGTGCCACTCCACCTTGTAGAATGGTGAGATTATGTGTGCGTGTTTGTGTTTGTGTGTTTGTGTGTGTTTGTGTGTGTGTGTGTTTGTGTTTGTTTACGTGAGTGCAAGTGAAAGTGGAGAGCAGACAAGATGAGCAGACAAACAGACACAATGCCGGTGAAATGGCTGCAACAGCACAGCATGTCTCACCTTGACATCCTCCAGCGCAGGTTCCTTCGCAAATGCAATGTGCTTTCGCATCAAATTCTGTGACGGATGCACCACCCAGGATCATGTGAGAGACAGAATGCGAGACATGAAGAGCGAGAGGCGTGGTGAAACAACACGTAATCCAAACACACAAACACACACACAAACACACACACGGTAGACATACATCCACACATTTTCATAGACGTACCTGCCACGTCGACTTGCGCTTGGATTCGGGGAAGCAAGCCGTGGCGCGGGTGTGTTTGGCGAGCTGGGAGAGGTGGTGGCGGTGGCAGTGCTGACCAACACCAAAGCAGAACACGCGCGGCTGCAAAATGCAGCATGGTGGTGCAGAGGTAGGAACAACGACAAGTCAGAGAGTGAGGCAGAGTGAGAGAAAGTGCGTGTGGCACGTTACTGCACACCGAATACTGCAAGCAAAGCAACCGCAATCACCATCACCCCTTCAGCACCCCCCCCCCACTTCTCTTCCACCTAAACACACACCATGTCTTTTGCTGCGACGGTTAGGACGCGTTGCTGGTCCAGGAATTCGCCATCGGAGACGAGCATGCAGGCAACGTCTGCACCAGCGCGCTTCCGCCACCCAGCGGCAGCCAGCACCGCCTCGATGTTCGTCGTGCCAAGGTTTGCCTTACAGCGGCGCAGGAAGCGGATGGCCGTGCGTGCACGGCGCGGTGTCTTGCGAACGTGTCGCGGGAACAGCGTCTCGGCCTGATCGCCAAAGACGGTGACGTTGAAGGCGGCGGACGTGGGGAGCTCCTCAACGCCTGACAGGGGGAAGGAGGTGGGGATGTAGGGGGTTGGCATATTGGCATGGGTGTAGGGAATCACGAACTCTGGTGTTGCATTGGGGAAAGACACCCGCACACACAAACGTTTACACACACGTTTACACACACGTTTACACACACGTTTACACACACGTTTACACACACGTTTACACAACACAAAACAACACAAAACAACACAACACAACACAACACAAAACAACACAAAACAACACAACACAACACAACACAACACAACACAACACAACACAACACAACACAACACAACACAACACAACACAACACAACACAACACAACACAAACGCACCGAGGATGACGAGGTTGACTGCGTCCTCAAGGCATTTTGCCATTGAGGCAGACAGGTCCAAGATAAAGTGGTACGCCACGTCGAGCGCGGGTGCATCAACTTCAGGGTAGAATGCGAGCATGCACGCACGCGTGTGTGTTGCGGGCGCTTCCTCAACCCACATGCGCGGGGCGTTGATGTTGTCGAGATCAATATCAAGCAAGAACCCGTCGTCACCAAACGTCGAGATGTCAGACACCTCCACCGTGGCCAGCGTGTCTGTTGTCTTCACCTTGAGGTCCTGCGGGTGCGAGGGGCTGCGAATGCCGACGATGAGCGATGGCATCTCAAGCGACAGCACGATTGACACGCCACCTTCAAGCCCAACACCATCCACAGCAGCCGCTGTCGTCGCCACCGCTGTCTGCGTTGCGTGATCAGCAGCCGCGTCGCGTGTGTTGGACGACACGGCGCCCGGCAGTCGGAACACTGCATAGTTACAGGTGGGTTGATGGATGGGTTAATGGTGATTTCGGTGGGGGAGGGTGGGGAAGGGGTAGAGACTTGGAGCAAGGCGGGGCAGAAACAAGTGCGTGTGTGTGTGTGTGTGTGTGTGTGTGTGTGTTTGGTGAGGAAGGCAAAGCACTCCGCCTCATCCCATCTCGAGTGTCCACAACACCAAGACAAACCACTGACGCACCAAGATGCCTGTCCTCCACGGCGAGTTCCATGATGAACGTGATCTTGATCACAACACGCGCTTTTGGCAGCAGGTTGCCCACGCTGTGTGAAGAGTGACAAGCGGGTGCAAGCACGTGCGTGTGTGAGCGTGAGGCAAGAGGGATGAATGACAGTGAAGGACAACGACACAGATGCATCATCGCCAACAACAACAACAACAACAACAACAACAACAACAACAACAACAACTGAGACAACAACAACAACAACAACTGAGACAACAACAACTTAAACAACAACAGCAACAACAACTGAGACAACAACAACAACAACTTAAACAACAACAGCAAGACCACCACCGCACCTGACGGTGAAGACGTTGGGCGCCTCCTCTTCTTCCTCCATCAAGTAGGCACCGTGTCCTTCCTCAATCGCCTTCTTGTACTCCCGTCGTGCCTGTTCTTTCTCTTTCACCTTGCCAATCACGTGCTTGTCGTTGATAAACGCCTCAAAGCCGCACACGGCCGCCGTCTCGTCCAGCGGGAACACGTACTTGGCCTCCATCGCCTCGCTACTGTCGTTGACATATGTCTGGTAGGCCGTGCACGTGGCAACGAGATCCACAACGCGTCCTCGCACGTGCACGGAGCGCAGTGGCAGCGGTGCCCCCGACGACGACTGCAGACCGGGCGTCACAGCATCTGAAGTGTGGTGGCGGTGGCGGTGATGGGTGATGATGGTGGTCGTGATGGTGGGTGATAATGGTGGGGGATGATGAGATAAGAAGGCATCAGATGGGATGTTTGCATGCGTACGCGAGAAATGCACACACACGTTCCACACAAAACCGGCAAACGTATCTCAACACCTTTCTCCACGTCACCCCACCCGCACGTCAATCTTGATGCACTCACCGAGAGGATTGGGCAGATCACGCAGGTTGCTGCCTTCCACGCCCCGTTGTTCATCGTCGTCATCGTCATCGTTGTCGCTCTCATCGTCTGATTCCGTGTCCGTGTCACTCAGCATCCGCATGCGAGCAAACACGTCTTCATCGCCATCACCACCCTCACCATCGCCATCACTGCTACTCAGTTGTTGTGAGATTGGGAACCAGAACCTGCCGAGTCCACGCCTCGTGTCATCGTCATCACCATCACCACCACCAGTGGCATTGCCGAGGGGCACGTGTGCAACAACGTGCATGTGCGGGCTGTTCTGGTCGCGTTGCATCAGCACGAGCTGGCGCGCCACAAACCGCGCGGGCTTCCACGCGCTGTTGATGCGTGACACCAATTGCTTGCAGGCATTCGAAGCCGCAGAGGACACGACTGTGATGTGCGGTTGCGGTGGCGCCGCCTGCGCAAACTCCGGACCGAGGGCAGTGCGGATATGCGTGAAGAGCGCCGTGAGCGGCTGCGGGTTGTCTGGCGTCAAAGCAAGGGCTTTGTGGCCCTTTCGTCCACCAGCGGCACCAGTGGTACTGGTACTTGTACTGGTACGGGCCGATGACAGGGAGACGGTGATGGGCGGTGCATCCGCGAGTGCGCTCGTGAGCACGACTGCTGCCTGATCGAGCTGCTGTGGCGCCACAAACGGCGACAGCAGCGGGATGTGGGGCGGGATGGTGTCTGCGTGGATGGGGTCGTGTTGGCGGCGGAGGTGCTGAATGCGGCGACA